CACACAGAAAGGGGTGGGTGGGTGGGGGCGTGTGTGCGTGTACCCCGCCATACCTTTAAAATGCATTACATTATGACCTTAAAGATGGTAAAGCAAGTATTATATTCCAGTGATATAAAGATTTCATTTCTCTGACTACAAGAAATCTACTACCTTATAAGCAGTATGGCAATTCAAAACCCATCAGAGGCCTGGATTTTTCACAGGTGACATTTTCAGTACTCATTATTTCACACCTGAAAGAGGGCCCAACTCTCACACTGCAGTTGCTCTAAAATGTCTGTAAGTCAGGCTCCTTTATGATGCTGCAGGTTGGACATCCCCCCAAAATAAATCACAACAATTTTGAAAAATCTAAACCTTTATATCCTACCCTCTGATTCTTTGTGTTCAAATTCACTGTACTGCCCTAGTGGACTCTAAAAGAACTGTTAAATTAACCAACACTGAAGCACTGTCTCTGTCTTCTTTGCCTCTGTCTTCCTCAGTAAGGACCAGAACTGCCACCTCCCTGCTGGGCCCCCTTTGGGCCCCGGGGGAGGCTCACCTGGGCCTAGAGTGAGTGAGGATTTAGTTAGGGAGCTTCTGGAGGGGCTGGACATTTTTAAGTCAGCCGGCCCAGATGATCTTCACCCTAGAGTCCTGAAGGAACTCGCTGGGGTCATTGCAAGTCCCCTGGCGCAGCTTTATGAACACTCGTGGTGCTCTGGAGAGGTGCCGGAGGACTGGAAGAGGGCCAACGTGGTTCCCATCTTCAAAAAGGGGAGGAAAGAGGACCCGGGGAACTACAGGCCAGTCAGCCTTACCTCGATCCTGGGCAAGCTGTTCGAGAAAATTATTCTGGCACGCATCCAGGAGGGGCCAGCAGGGAACGGCATGCTCAGGGGCAACCAGCATGGGTTCATCAGCGGCAGGTCCTGTCAGACCAACCTGGTGGCCTTTTACGACCAGGTCACTAAATCATTGGATGCAGGGGTGGCAGTGGATATAGTTTTCCTAGACTTCAGGAAGGCTTTTGATACTGTCTCTCACCCCATTCTCATTAGGAAGCTGGGGGACTGTGGCGTAGACACCCATACAGTCCAATGGGTCGCCAACTGGTTAGAGAGTCGCACCCAGAGGGTGGTAGTGGATGGGTCCTTCTCGACCTGGAAGGACGTGGGAAGTGGGGTCCCACAGGGCTCGGTCCTTGGGCCTGCACTGTTCAATATCTTCATCAGTGATTTGGACGAGGGGGTGCAAAGCACCCTGTTCAAGTTTGCTGATGACACTAAGATGTGGGGGGATGTGGGCACAATAGAGGGGAGCAACAGGCTACAGTTGGACCTAGATAGGTTACAAGGATGGGCGGAGGAGAACAGGATGGGGTTTAACACAGACAAGTGTAAGGTGATGCACCTGGGGAGGAACAATCGGCACCATACATACAGGCTGGGGAACTCCCCTCTTGTCAGCACGGAGGTGGAAAAGGATCTGGGAGTCATTATTGACTCCAAGATGAACATGAGTCGGCAATGTGGGGAGGCGGCTAGGAAGGCCAACTGCACCTTGTCGTGCATCCACAGATGCATCTCGAGCAGGTCCAAGGAGGTGATCCTCCCCCTCTATGCGGCACTGGTCAGGCCGCAGCTGGAGTACTGCGTCCAGTTCTGGGCGCCGCACTTTAAGAGGGATGTGGACAGCATCGAGAGGGTCCAGAGGAGGGCCACTCGTATGATCAAGGGACAGCAGGGTAGGTCCTATGAGGAAAGGTTGCGGGACCTGAACCTGTTCAGCCTTCAAAAGAGAAGGCTGAGGGGGGATCTTGTGGCCTGTTATAAACTGGTTAGGGGGGATCAGCAGGCGCTGGGGGAGTCCCTGTTCCCCCGAGCGCCGCAAGGAGTGACCAGGAACAATGGTCACAAGCTGGCGGAGGGAAGGTTTAAGTTGGACATCAGGAGGCGCTACTTCACGGTCAGGGCGGCTAGGGTCTGGAACCAGCTTCCAAGTGAGGTGGTGCAGGCTCCCACCCTGGGGGTTTTTAAGAGGAGGTTGGATGACCACCTTACTGGGGTCGTTTGACCCCAGTGCTCTTCCTGCCATGGCAGGGGGTCGGACTAGATGATCTGCTCAGGTCCCTTCTGACCCTAGAAACTATGAAACTGTGGATTCTTGTTGAGTGAATTTGTGTTGTAAAGTTTGCACCAAATTCTGAAGTTCTCCAAAATGCAAGGTATGTAGATCTGAAGTCTCTGTGTAGGTATTTTTGTATTTTATTTTATTAATATATTTATTCTTTGTTTTCATTATGAAATAAATTAATTGTAAAACCCATAACTTAAAACAAGATTCAGTGCACAGAGCTCCTCAGGGGTCCAGAAATTTGATGGTGAAGGAGGGGTGCTGCAATCTGTCATGCTGCCAAATTTCTGGCTCTGCAGACCAGCTCTGTGCACTGGATGAATTGGGCACTCCTGACCTAAGGCACTGCCTGGAGAAATACACAAAAATACCCTGAATTCTTCACTCTTGTTTTTAAGCTTAATGATATGTTACATTAGAAAAACAAAATGTCTACTGAGGATTTTAAAATGTTAAAGTTACTTTGCTTAAATTATACACTAAAAAGTCACATTCAACCACTTTTTGAAGTTAGAGCTACATCAAGGGTGTCCACAGTTGCATCATATTCTCATTTTCACTTTCCATTCATTTTTTTGCCCTGTGCTATAGAACAGAGGGGGTCAACCTGCAACACGGGTGCTGCAAGTGGCACATGCAGTTTCTGTGTGGCATAAGGCAGACTCGGGAGGGAACAAGCAGCACAGCAGCAGATCAGGCAGGAAGCAGAAGGCAAAGCAATGGATCAGAAAAAAGGAATAGGAGACAAAGCAGAAAGCAGAGCAGGTAGGCGAAAGAGACCAGAGTGGCAACTGGGAAAGGTGCAAGACTAGTTAGTGGCACATTTGCTAAAAAAGTTGGCCCCTACTGCTAAAGGGGATGTGTGAGAGCACAGAGAATGTCTGCTGACCACATCGGGTCAGTAATTGTTAAAACGGAAAGGTTTTATTTACATGCTTATAAATAACCAAGTCAGAATTATTTACAGGGCAAGCTGAAGCTAAATGAATGTTTCAGGAAACTGAATGTGAATCTGTGAGTGCTAAGCAGGAGTTGACTCAAATGCACAGGCATTCAAAATGTTACATTTATACCAAGTGCACTCAGAATGGACCCACGTAGATTGTAATTCAGCATTAACATGCACCAGAGGCCTAGCTCCAAGGAACCTCAGGCACTACTCATCCCCCATTACAGCCTGATGGTGGAGTAGCTTAGATGTACTCTACATCAGCGGTTGTCAAAGGGGGGTACACGTACTCCTAGGGGTACTTGGAAAGGTCGTTGGGGGAATGTGTGGGTGGTGGGGGACAGAGTGTTGCCACCCACAATCCTACCTCCTGGGAGCAGGGCCAGGGGTGGGGGGACAGCAGAGCCCCTCTGCCAGCCGCACAGATGCCACCCAACTGACTGGATGTGGGGGGAAGGGAAGAGCTCACATGTGGTGGCCACCATCATCCATCACCTTGCACTGCCACAGCACACTGCTTTTCCATAGGTGGTCTTACATGCAGCTCTGTGGGCTGCTGACTGGCAGCATGTGATTGGCTGGGTGCAAGGCCTCAGCAGCCTGCAGAGCCATGCATGCAACCACTCGTGGGAAAGTGGGGTGTGGCAGTGGCGTCGGACAGTTGGTGGTGGTGGCAGCGGCTGCATGCAAGCTCCCCCGCCCCACCTCGGCCACTGCCACCAGAAGGGGTACACCTCTTAATATAAAGCACTCTACATAGGGCTACCCCTAAGGACCACCCAGAAGCTGCAGCTGGTACAGAATGCAGTAGCTTACTTTCTGACAGGTGCAAGTTGCCAGGAGGACATAACTCCAATGAGTCCAGAGTCTGCACTGGCTTCCAGTAGCTTTCTAGGCATGATGCTAAGTGCTAGATTTGACCTATAAAGGCCCAAGTAGCCTGGTTCCTACATACCTAAGGGACTGCCTTTTCCCTTATGCCCCATCTCGATCACTAAGGTCAGCCATGAGTAGCCTCCTGCAAATACCTGTATGCCAAGTTTACTTGGCAAAAACAACTGGGAGGTCAACCTCAGTAGCAGCTCCTATGCTCTGGAATACCCACCCCCTTGTGGCCCACCAGAGCCTGTGCCTACATAGCTTTATAGAGATTTGGCCCCACCATGAGAATGACAAAAGCTGTATAAGAACAAACCCCCCCATGCAGGACTTGGAACCCAGTAAAGAAACCAGTGCTTTTCTTCTACTCCAGTCCAATCTTAGAAAGTTGCAACAGCTCTTAATATACAACTCCCATGCAGCTAAGCTATTTTAAAGTTTTGGAGGAAAGCCAGGTGAACAAGATCTACACAGATAAACAAGGCTGGGTCCCTGTTGGCAGGTGCATATTTGAATAGATAACCTGTATATTTCCAAAGCAAAACATTCATTGATTTGGAACACAAGAAGGTGGTACAACCAGACCTCCCTTCCCCCATCCACACTGCATGAGACGTTTTACTCCTGCACCGGGCTGAAAAACACAAATTCATTACTACCTCTGAGGCTATGGATGTGAAGCTGCTGCTGAAGTGTACGTGCTTATGAACTTCGCTCCCATTGGCTCTCAGGAGCCATTCCCCAAAGGCTCTTCCTTCACTAGTTGACTGGTTGCTATGGCTTTGATTAGCTGAGAGCTCTTCAAGGTCCCAGTGGTAGGGAGGTGTTGCCCCGACAAGCGCAATGAGGATTGCTTCTGTGGCTACGTAGAGCTGAAAGAAAAAACACAGGCAAATCAAAAAAGGCTGTCCACACACTGAAACAGCAATATTTCACCTGCATCTATATCCAGTAAATATTAAACTCATTTCCATTGCTTTACATTCCCTAGTGCTACTGATAGATGCTCCAAGTAATCTTACTGAATCTTACACAAGGAGGTTTCAAGATTCCAGCTCAGTGATTTTTAAGCTTTTAGACCGTCGATCACTTAAGAGAAACCCTCTTCTCCCACCCTCAGAATCTCAATCCCAACCATGACAAACAACTTCTCATATATCTGAGTGCTGTATTAGAACACTGTTAAGGAAATAAGATAAAAACTCCTGAAAGGAGCAAGGTTACGATCCTATCCCCATCTCTCTTTGCTTTACACCTGTGCCATTCATACCTGCTTGGGTGACAGAGTTGGCTATGTGAAACAGTTCTCTCCTGCACTGCCCAAAGCTGACGCCCTCCATCCCCAACACTGATCTCTAAGCTGTAAACAGACATCTAATTTGAGATGATCCTGACTGCCCTCGGTTTTGACCTGAATCAAAACACGAGCAGCACAGCTTCCAAACTTCATTGCTGCTCCTCTACCAGTAGGTGGACAGTGAGAGCACACAGACTGACAGGCTTGTCCCTGGAATAACTCACAATTAACTTGAATGACCAACCACAATTAAATTAGAGGAAGACAGCAATGTCTTGGAAAAATTTAATTTTTTTCTCCCATACTTCACAGATACTTAAAGCAAGACAACGGACTTGTCTATAGGATCATGGGACAAAAGGCTTTCTTCCCTGGGAAAATGCCACCTCTTACAGCCTCAAGGTTCCCTTGAAGTTTAATTCTGTTTGCTGTCTTTCTAGTGTCAATGTGTTCTGTGCCCATATTTTACACTGATACACACCTACAGCACAGACATGAGGCAGAATCAAACAGAGAGTTTATTTAGTAAAATCACACAGGAAATCGAGAGTTTCACTATGAACTACAGCAGGGAATACTGCTGCTTGAGACCTAATAAGTCTGTCATCATTGACAGAAGAAGGTCTAGAGACCACCAGCCTAAAAGCCCAATGTGCTATCTACAGTGGAATGTATGTGGCATTTTAGCAGCAAAGGGCTTTGCCTAGGCACCAGGGAGAAGTGACAGCTGAGACTTTGGCATGGGCGGGCTGAAAGCAGCCCATGCTTGAAGCTAAGATCTGCTAAAGCAGTCTCCTGATACAAAACATTGCTGACCTCTGGTTTAGACTACGGCTTGAGAACCATTATTCTAGATTCATTTAAAAATAATAAGCCCATTACTTCTCCCAAAAGGAAACTAGAAAAAACTAAGGAAAGTTGTGACACCACATCAGGGATGCTCAACCTTTTTGGCTAGTGAGCTGGCTAGACAGTGCCCAGGCCAGCTGCAGGCTGGATCCAGTTGATGATCCCAATCCAACACAGCAATCACAGCAGGGCCCCATCTGGCTGAGAAGGGGGCAGTAGGTATCCCAACTGCAACCTGGCAGGGGGCACAGCTCAGCCCCATGGGGGAAAGAGGCATGGCTCAGCCCCAACCCAGCCCCAAAGGGGGAAGGGGCATGGCCCAGTTGCAACCCAGTCCCATGGGGGGTGGGGGGGAAGGGGCCTTGACCTAGCCCTGCAAGGGAGAAAAGGGTAGGGCCCAGCTCCATCCAGCCATGGACATGTGGGAGGTGATGTGACTTGACCCCAACCTGCTGCACAGGGCTTGGGGTTTGGGAATTTAACAGTGGGGGAGGGTGGCCATATTTATTCCACCTCTCCCTCACTGCCAAATTTCCCAATCTGTGGGGAGCTCCACTGGCCAGATATCCATGGCGCCACAGACCATATCTGGCCTGTGGGCCAGAAGTTGAGTACCCCTGCACAATATGTTACGTCTCCTTGGTCTGCTGGATTGTGTATTCTTATTTAAATGCCACCAAATAAGATTAGTCTGTATAAAACAACTGAGAACTCAGAGCCGCATGTAATTCCGACATACAGTTACTACAAGGTTGACAGCAAGAATCCTTGAGTTATTTATGGTATATTAAAATGTGTTCCTCCATCCTGTCATTCCTTCTATCAAACCCAGAGTGCTCGAAAAGATTACCCATTCCCAAACTGATGATTTAAAAAATATTTAGAAAGCTAGCGCTCCTTCCAAAATGTTTTTTTCCCTTAAAACAAGTTATTTAAAAATTGAAAAACATATAAAGAGAAACATGTGTTCCATCAATGACGCCATTGTAGAAGGGAAGCTTTTAAAACAGACCTCATTAATTAAAAAGAGAAATTCCTCATTTGGAGAAGAGGGAACAGGAAGCACCACTTACTGAAAAGAGCGAAGGAGTGAGAAGCTAAGGAAGCAGTGCTTGCTAGGAGCCAAGGGTGTAGCATTTTTCCACAGTACCAACTGGATGACTAAGTTCTCCAAAATTTGAGAAATCAAAATCACCACGCAGTTTTAAGTCAGTAACTATCCAATACCCCTGCACTGTGACTGGCTCCGATGATTCCATTTCAGTATTAAGTGAGAACATCCTCATCTTTATCTTGCACTACAATCGTCAGATTTTTAAGTAGTTCAGGAGATAAGTGGATTTTTTCACGGTTTTTGCTTTAGGGAGGGGAGGAGGGGTGGGGAAAAACACCACCACATTCCTTCCATCTTCAGTTTTCCTTTAAAAGAAATCCACTGAAAAACTGCATAGGAAATCCACTGAAACCATATAGGACTTTCATCCAAACAACGTATAGGTGAAAGTATAGAAAGAGATGAGACGTGTTTTGCTGGAAAGATTTTAGCTGGAAGCTTCACTGGAAATCACAGGAAACATGGAAAAAAATAATTTTAAAAAGGCCTATTAGGAAAAATACCCAACTACCTTGGATTGGTCCTTGGAATCAAATCATATTTAAATATTGGACACATACAATATCCAAAATAAATCTATTTCAGTATTACAGCTTACAAGGGCCATCTACTCAGCAAACTAGTTGTACCCTGCACAACAGTGTTGCTGACTCTCCCAATTTTATTGTAAATCTTCTGACATTCAGGGGTTTTTTTTAGGTCCAAGCTCCTCGACTCTTGTAATATATGAGAATTTCAAGATTAATTTATACCTATTAGGGTCAGAACTTGTTTTCAGAGAAAACCTTGAAAATATGACCCAAGTACTCATTGTAGGATTTTTGTTTTTGTTTTTGTTTTTTTTAAAGATGACAAATTAAAAAGGAGGTTTTAGGGGAAAGGTTGGGAGAGGAAGGTGGAAGGGCTTAGGTCTCATGGTTTTGCTGTCCTCACTCATGAATCTTAAATATGTGGGGTTGGCAATAGTATATAGTCTTTTAGATACTCATATGGCAGGTATAAAATACTGCTAAATTAGAACAGGAGTATTTTATAACAACTGGCAAATCTGGACAGTGCTCAACATCAGAGAACTAAGTCTTTTTATCTTTAATCTTGTATATAACCATGCAATAAAATACACGTCAAACTTATCTGTGACTTAATATATGCCTCATATAACATTTTAATTGGCTCCATACTAATGTTTCTCCACAGATTTCTGTGGGACTGATCTATATTAATAAACATGACAGCCAAAATCAGGGGAAAGAGATTTCTGACTTTTTTCTTCTCCTTTGTAATAAATGAGCCAGGCCTGAAAGATTTGTTACCTTGGTTTATTTTTTCCTGTTTATTTTTTACATTAGAAATTCACATTCTGTCTAGACCAGAAGACTCTGGTGACTGCAGAACACATGAAACGTCAGCATCTCAGGAGCCAAGAAGCTGAAAGCTTCCCAGTTAAGAGGAAAAGGGATATTTATCATCAGGCAGCTGGATAACTATCGTGTTAACACATTTTAAACGTTTATGCAAAGATAGGGCAGAATATATATATCCAATTAATTAATTAACCTTCTCGGGGGAAAAAAAAAAAATCAGTATGTACCCAAAATCTCATCACTTCTTCACCTGTTATAAAGGTATTTGCATTCTTAATAAACCAAGTCTGAGAACCTGGAAATCCTCTGAAAAAA